GTCTGACTCTCCCATAAGTCACAGCACATGTGTATACGTGATTGTTTGCATTGAAGGGAAATTTGACACTACAGAGAACTAAACATTTTAATTTGCATGCCATGTATTTATGCTATGTACAGGGTCATGAATGTAGCATAAAAGTCTATGTACCCACAGGTGTTTGTGCGATGTGAGGAAGTGTTGAGCCGTCGGTGACCCACCAGACATATTTAAACACGGTTTTCCTGCTTTTCTGAAGCCTTCGTTATAATCCCAGCAATTCATTTGGAGCTGTCACATGCCTCAAAGAAGAGAAAAGGGATAATTATGCTATAAAAGTCCAGGAATGTTAAAAAAAACAATGGTTCTACTTATCTATGAACAGAAAGCAACAAAAAAAAACTATTTTGCTTTGTAGGCTCAGCAGAGAGAGATGCCATAAAAATAATAAATCTGTTTTTATCAGTTCATCTAAGTCTAGCAAACTTTTCCATTGGTGTAGGATGTAAAAAAAATACTTTAATATAGCAATATAGAATAAATAATTACATACAGGAGGACTATTTGTCCTCTTATTGCCACCTACTGGCTGGAATCAGCATATCTGCATCTTGTTAGGAGAGATAAAAGTTCTTCCCTTCAGTTGGACTAAATGAAATAATAATAATAATAAAAATAAATATTCAGTTTAGCCCTGTTAATATATCTTTCACTATTTTTCCCCATTAATAATGGGACTTCCATCACAGTGGATTAATTTAGGCACTTTTTTGGGGGAGGAAAAAATAGAAACAAGATGGAAGAAAATAAAGTACCACTGTCAAACCAGTAGGTGGAGATAACAATTTCATTAGGACACCTGAAATTAAAGAGGCAAATTTTATTTTGCTAAACTTAAATTAACTAAAGTCCTCTGATGTCACTGGCTACCCATAATCCACTGTGGGACATTATGGTGGTTGTGAAAGCCAAACAAAGGTTTCCAATACACAGGTCAGAAGTAACATAGTACGGTGAGTGAATGGTAAGAGTTCATTAACTCATGGTCAAATGTTACCATGGAAACAGACCCATGCCATCACAGAACCTCCACCATGCCGAACAGTGAGGAATAGGGGTGTTTCCACACACCGAACCAAAGTAAATGCAGAACATTATCCTGCATTTATTCTTCAGCAGTGGAGCAGAAAAGTTCAACAAAGTCGGGTCAGATTATTTTTTAAAAAACATTTATACAACCTCTACGTGGGGGGAGCCCGCTTTAACCACTGCGCCATGCATTGCGTCTATTCTGGTAGCCTTTGCCCTTAATGGTGCCTTCACACCAAGCACATTTCATGCATCAGGCACGTCTGTTTTACAATCAAAGTCTACGTGGAGGCTTGTTGAGGACCCATCGCGATGCGTTTGGAGCGTTTTACACGTCAAATGTGTCCAACAAACAGGCCGGCAACGGAAAACAACAGCTAGAGCTATTTTGACATGTCCGACACCCTCAACGCGCCTCCACATAGACTTTGAATATAAACCAAAATGCGTTTGGTGTGAATACACCACAAGATAAGGACAAGTATAGTTAAGAAACGCCTTTCTGTCTTACTTCAACGACACATTCACTTGTCTTGAAGAATGGCCTTTGTTTATATCTGGAGACAAACCAGCACTCAATCTCCCCGTTACAGAAACACCTCAGCTACTGAAATCAAGACCTTCTAACCTAGGGGAGGGCAGTCCTGGTCCTCGAGGGCCGGTGTCCTGCAACTCTTAGACGTTTCCCTGGCCCAACACACTTGAATCCAATAGTTGAATCACCTCCTAAGTGCAGTCAGGTTCTCCAGAGTCCTGCTAATGACCTCATTATTTGACTCAGGTGTGTTGAAGTAGAGGTGCATCTGAAAGTTGCAGGAAGCCGGCCCTCGAGGCCTGGAGTTGCCCGCCCCTGTTCTGACCCCAACCACCTTGCAGCCAGATTCAGCAGTGTGAGTTAAGATCATTTTGTACCTTCTAAATGGGTTCTGAATCATCTCGGATGTTTGTTCTACTAATACAACCACAGGAATGTGAGTTTACACGATGGAAGCGTGCAATTTTTATAAAAAGAAAAGACAAAAAAATTTAATTTAAGAAATCCCTCATGGTTGAACTCTAGACCATCACAGTATGTTCCTGGAACTAGATCAGCGTCACGACAAAGCAGGTTCAACAATAATTCAATACGAAACTTTATGAGAAGTCGTTTTAATCATCTTCTTCAAAGTTTCCAAAACTCTAACTTCGTTTTCTTGGAGCTTGAGCGCAATATGTAAACCATCACCCAGCCTCTCCTTAAACCCAGTTCTTGATGAGAACATTGTGTCTGTGTGTGCGTGTCACAGGCTTTTTGTCATCATCAGATTGTTTCAAGATGAGGGCGAACAATAAGATTTGGATGCCCACAGGCATTTACAGTCCACAGAGGAATGTGGAATCTGTGTCTTATTAAAAATCTGTTATAATCTTGTGAGTGAAAGATGGAATGAGGCTGTGAAAGCCGAGTGGATCAGCTGCAGCATATTAGGACATAAAGCCCGACAGATCTCGCTCTTCTTGTTTAAAGAAGTCGATGCCGTGACGTCTCGGTCACCAGATTTATTTCTCCATCTTGTTTGCATAACATCAAGAGCTGAGGGAAGTGGAAAGATAATCCACTTTTCTATGAGTTGCTGTGGGGTATATGGTGCTTTATATTATAGTGAATGTAGATGATTTGAGTTCTTGTGCTTATTGAGGACATAAACACAACCCCTGATGTGATCTGTATGTGTAAGTAATAATAATGGACTCTTTGATGGTTTTACTCTGTTTTCGAACAAGTTGGATTAGCTTTACCCATGTTTAGACAAACAGTAAATTTATTTGAAGCTTTAAAATTGTGTAAAATGGTCAAATATGCTTTGTAGATGACCAATAGGCATTAAACTGGAGTCAAAGACGGCAAAATATTACAATGAGCAAAATGTACCTGAAATAATAAACTGTTTATCTGATGCATGTGAACTTAATGTTTTTAAACTAACAATTTTCTGCTACTAGTTCAAGATATACGTTTTGAAATTTTCTTCCCCCAAAAGTTATGACTTGCTGAAGGCATATTGTCAGAAAGAGAAGCTTCTTAAAGAGACAGATACCACTTTCAAAACATTAAATTACTAAGTCCAATTTCTTTTAAGTCTTGTTTTACAGCATTTTTGTAACAACTGAAGGTAAGACAGTTACTTGATTTTGCTATAAACTGGAACTATATGCCTAAAAAATACATAACAAATCCTCTTTAAAAGTTCCAGCAAACTCTGTTTAGTATTACTAAACAAAGCTTGCTTAATACGCCCCTTAAAGCCTTAAGGGGCGTATTAAGCAATCCCAACAGCGCATTTATTAATCAATAAATTAATACATTTATTGATTTATTGATCAGAGCACAGTCCTCTGATCGTGTTTGCATTTCCACTTTTTTATGACCCATGACCGCAGCTCGGTGAACGGTAAAAGATGTTCCCTCAAACCAATCGTATGGTCTCGCCAGAAAATTGAGCTTACTGTCCGTTTAGTGAACGTATTGCTAATTTGCACCATTATACAGTGCATACTCGTAAAACCAGCTGGGTTGCAAGGAAACGGCCTGGGCTTCCCCGAGGTTGCTAGGTAAAGGCCTGGGCTTCCCCGAGGTTGCTAGGTAACGGCCTGGGCTTCCCTGAGGTTGCTAGGTAACAGCCTGGGCTTCCCCGAGGTTGCTAGGTGAGGGCCAGTGACTGCGGATTTGTGACGTTACATTCTAAAGTTTTTTGAAACCATTTCTTTTCCAAAACATTAACATATTGTCAAAAAATATGCCTGAGTGTTTTGTTAAGTGCTTGAAATGTTTTTAGGAATATTAGAGACCCAAATGGAAAGATAAAAATGTTTCATTTAGCCTTTAACCTTTTATTCTTGTCTTTCTCCTCTGCTTCTTCTACACTATGAATCTACATCATATTCTTCTCCTTTTAGGCCAACTGATTACACTGATTACATTTTGCCAACCTGTACAGGATGTTGATGAGACATTAGGTAGGAAATGTAGGTTTAACAAAAAAAGTAACTTGAATATTTGGAAACCAACAAGGGCAACACAACAAGACGCAAAGAAAAACCCTTAAAGTATGACTGGGAGGACTGCTTGAAGAGTTGAAACAGGTGGACTGATTAAGAATATAAAGTAGATAGTAAAATGGAACAAGTAGAAAATTAGAAACTGTGGCTACAGATTTGTAGGGTAATTAGCTCACAATCTCTGAGTCTGCCAGAGTAGAAACTGCTTTCCTGCTCTAATCACCCCCAGGGAGTTATGCTCCAGCCTTTTGCAGATTAGATTAGATAAATGCTCCCTTTCAAAAATGGTTTGCAAACATTTAGAATAGATGTGTCAAACTCAAGGCCCAGGGGCCAAATCTGGCCCACCGTAGCTTATTATGTGGCCCTCTAGACTCCAAATTACATAAATAACTTCCTCCAGTTTTTCACAAATCTGCAAAATTCACACTAAATCAAACAGATCCCCACGTTTTTTTCTGATTTGACTGCAAATTTTTCTCAAAATTGATCAAAAACTTTGGGTTTTAGTCAGTGTTGCCTCAGCTTTAGTTGATGTCAAGTTGTAGTCCGTTATCAATATGGCAAGTAAAAAAAGTAACTTTTAACATCATAAATTAGCACCAATAATGTAAAAATTCCTTTAAAAAATTAGCATAATAAAATCTGTAATTTTCAATGCAAAAAAAACACTGAAACAATCACAAAATCATGGAGAGACTGATCACTTTGGAGAGATGTTAAATGTTATTTATTTTAAGAAATACTTTTGAAATATTAATAAATAGCTGTTTGTTTCAGCATTTTATAAATACAATAGGTTTTATCAATACATTCTGGCACAACTGGCCCTTTAAAAACACTAAGATTTTTGATATGACCCAAAATGAAAATAAGTTTGACACCCCTGATGTAAAACCTCAAGGTACAGAGTTTATTGGATGTTTAAAAAAAAAAAAAAAAAAAACACATTTTAAAATAAAATCAAAGCATAAGTGACTTAAAGAGGTCTGTGTTTTTCACAATCTGAGCATGCCCAGATGTGATTTTGTCATTGCCACCCTCTAAATGAGGAGGGACCAGATGTCACTTTAAAAAAACAAGCGTTTTGGAGGCTTTTAACTTTATTAATGACCAGACAAAAGTGGTGTGTGACTTTTTGAGCCATTAGAAACATGCAGAGGATTTGTCACGAATCCTCTGGATCTCGTCTGTTCCTCTTCTTTTCCACGCTCGCTTCTAGTTGTTTCAAACACTTCATTACTGATGAGATGTGAGGCAATGAATTTTCAAACACATCAGTGACATTTCTTGGCCGGGTCGGTTCGTCTCGGCTCACCAGCATGTTGGAAACAGATGGGAGGAGAAATGCAGGACAATATCTAAACCATCACCAACGCTTCTCTTGTGGCTTGCCTTGAAAAATAAAATAAAATAAAAAACCTACAAAAAAGGAGAAATTCTGCTGCAAATATATGTCTCTTTTTTTAAGTGAAATTTTTCCAGATTTTTCCCCCTTTAATTGTTTGATTTCAATTTTGTCAGTCTATTGACATAATTTCTAAATATTAAATCAGGTGTTATCATTTACATTTTTTTATTAAAATAATTTTATGAACAGCTACTTTTTGCTGTTAAGTAAAAATATTTTTGAAATAGTGCTGCTTTTACTGGAGAAAAGTTTTTCCTGGATTAATATTTAATTTGAAGGCTATAAAAGGCTTCTGGACAAAAAAAAATATGATTTTTAACGACATAAAATTTGAGGGCATGTGGGATGGGTCAAGGGTCTACTGTAGGGAGGGCAGTTGCCCCCTTTGCCCACCCCTGTGGATCCGCCTCTGAAAGTTAGAAACTTTCTAGTCTGTACAAATATGTACTCATCATATTCTGAATTTCTTGTTTTCCGTTTTTGTAACAATAAATATCCCCCGTTTTTTTTTTTTTTTTACTGGGAAAGTTTCATAAAAACATGTTTTTATTTGGATTTACCTCATGAAGGTTATTTAGCGCAGAGTTCTTCAAAGTAGGGGCCACCAGGGGGCGCTAAGGCTGCCTGAAGATGGGGGAAAAAAAAGCAAAAATAAAAAAATGAATAATACTTTTTTTAACCAAAATTTTAATATTTTTTTAATCATAAAATTTAATCTGTTTTCAATCATTGTAGAGTAAAATGACTTATTGAACTGTTATTTGTCATGCTCATATTTCTGATTCATCTAGCTGTTTTGCTCCTAGAAAAGGATGGACAACTAAAATCAGAAAATATGAGGCAGGATTTATGCTAAACCAATGTAATAATTACTGAATAGAGACTAAAGGTTGGTGCTTCTTCACATATTTTGTAGCATTGGCTGTGAGTTTGCTTAAGGAATCCTTGCCCAAAAGCTAATGCCCCTTTTCCATATCTTTTCCAACATATGGAAACATTTGGGAACCTCTAATTTAGTGAAGTACAAATTGACAATTGACTGAAAACTTCTGGAAACTGCTTGTCCAGAGGATGACAGGGTGACAAAAAAAACAACAAAAAAGCAAAAGCTAATAGTTTCTCTATTGATTGTTATTTTTTGGGGTTTACTGATACTTTTTAGGCACAAGTGTGTTTGCAGGTGCTGTGATTTTGTTTTTGAGAACCAAATCAGATATAGAGCAACAGAGCAATTTGTATGAGCTACACAGACAAACTTTCAGCATTCTTCCTTTCAGAGTCAGACCGCCCAATAGGACCCACACCCTCCTACTTCTTCCCCAGCAGCTCGCCTCCCCCCTTCTGTCTCTGGTTACAGTCACCGGGCTCCAAAAGAAAATGTCACAGAAAAGGAACTTGGACTTCAAAGAGCGACCAATCTGAAGTGGTCCGAGTTAATCGTGTGCATCTGTTTCTCAAAGCTCAGAGACTTCTGACCTGCAGGAGGGCTTAGGCAACAAGCTCCAAACACAAACCGGGAGACTCCTGAAATTATTACCACTTGGTGGCCAAGAGAAAGGAGCTCACTGGTGGAAGCTGTTGATCAAGCCACATGGGAGGAGGAACTCATGTGAAGGGTCTGAGATTTCAGTTTAAGAGGCTGTTTTAAATTTGTTGTCTTGACCTCAATGTTGCGCTGAGGTTACCTCCAATGGGTAACCCAAATCAGTTCAAGATAAATGAAACACTTGGCAACGTTTTTGTACTTTCACTTGGGTCTCAACTGCTTCTAAAAACAGCCCAAGCTCTTTAAAAAGAAACACCCAGAAGTTTTTTCGGCAATAAGTTAATGTTTTTGGTGTCCGTTTCAAAAAGCTCCAGGTAGTTAAGACACATTCCAAAGGCACTGTGCTGTTACCTAGCAACTCCAGCAAAACCCAGCCTGTTACCTAGCAACACAAATAGCGGAACTCAAGCACGATTGGTCAGTGGTCTGACTGAGCTGGAAAAGCAACAACTCCAGTTATAAAATCTTGTCCTGAGGAGCTGCCAAAGTCCAAAAGAAGAATATTGATAACATAAGCACAGTTTAAGCAAATCATACAAAATTTGTCAAAAATGGTTTTTGCAAAAAAAGAAAGAAAATGCAAATGTTACTGATAGTGTCACACATGCTCTTACCTTTCAGGTTCGATTTTCAAGAGACATGAAATAGGAAGATAAATTAGAAAGTTAGTTGCAATCTGAATTAACATGAGTTACAACAACTTTTAATTTCCCTTTAGGATCAATAAAGTAGTTTGAGTTTGAAAATTACTCAAATTTCCAAAAGACAGAGTGATCACAATTGAGCTGAGTTGCAGTGATTGATCAGGAAAGGAAATACAAAAAGCACTAAGGTGACTGATCAGATTTGAGGAAGAGTTGCAAAGACTGGTGGAAGTTGCAATTCCACGCAAAATTTGTGAATAATGAGTGAATTTCAAGTAATAATTGTGATAGCAAAGTTGCAACTTTCAGGAGGGATTGATTAAACATGGCAGTGGCAGTATTATGCTGTGGGGGACGCTGTCTGTTATCAGAGACAATCTCCGTCAAATCTGACTGAGCTTGGGCTATTTTGCAAAGATGAACAGGCAAAAATTTCAGTTTCCAGATATAAAAAGTTGTTTTTAGCAACTTTCCCTAAAAAGTAGGTAAAGATGTGCTCTGATTTAAAAATGGCGTCAGATGGAGGTCGCACAGATTTGGTGTTTAAAAATCAACCTGCTGCCATGAGGATGAATGTTTCTGATTTGGATCTCCTCCACCCAAGGAGTTGAACAAAGACAAGATTGTTACAAAGAGCTTCCACCATTTTGTACTCGTAGTGATTTATACGTTTGCACAGCTAACCTAAAGGTAAACAGATTAATGCTAATGATGAAGAGAGACCTCGTTAGCTTGACTTTTATCTGATTGCAGCCGAGAAACAGATTTTGGGACCTGAGCTTAGTAATTAAAACACACCTCTAAATCTATACACACACTCACTTAGCACATGTTTTTCCCTGCAGTGTACACACGCCTATGCTAGCTTGGAGAAGCCTGGATGATGAAAAGCTTCCTGGGGCCTGATAAGGCTCTCTGTTTACCAATCACAGATACCTTGGCCAGAGACACAAATACTAACCCGCAGTAAATGTGTGCAAAGGTGTTGGGCAACAAAACCAACATCTGAGGAGCTTTAAATGTAAACAGAGAGATGAGGAGTTGGAGGAAAAGAACGCGTCTGCCATGACTCCTGACAGCTTTATGGTCCAGGTGGTCGAGGTCTGTGAAAGGACAGACCGGGCAGAACTATGGTACTGTGCAAAACTCCTAAGTCAGCTCATATTTCTTGTCTTAACAACAGTTATTTTTCCTTTTCAGTCCCAGTGCTGCCCTCCTTAGGTTGAACGTGGCTACTGCAGTTGAATTCTCCTATTGCTTAAAACAGCACAACTTTTCGACAAACAGCACCAGTGACGTGCGGTCAGGGGAAGCAGGTGAGGCAGAGCCTCACCTGTCATCATGGAAAAATAATATAATGATTTATAAAGATATTTTCACCCTGTGGTTTGTACTATAAAGTACCTATTCGTTCATTTAAGTTAACCAAATCTGTTTTTTTTTCTTCTTCAAAATCGCTGAATTTTCGCATTTTCCCCATTCAAATGCTTGGAAGCGAAGCAGGTGAGGCAGAGCCTCACCTGTCATCATGGAAAAATAATATAATGATTTATAAAGATATTTTCACCCTGTGGTTTGTACTATAAAGTACATATTCTTTCATTTAAGTTAACCAAAT